CCTCTTCCTCCTCCTCCTCCTCCTCCTCCTCCTCCTCCTCCTCCTCCTCTTCTTCTTCTTCTTCTTCTTCTTCTTCTTCTTCTTCTTCTTCTTCTTCTTCTTCTTCTTCTTCTTCTTCTTCTTCTTCTTCTTCTTCTTCTTCTTCTTCTTCTTCTTCTTCTTCTTCTTCTTCTTCTTCTTCTTTTCCTCCTCCTCTTCTCCTCTCCTCTCCTCCTCCTCCTCCTCCTCCCAAACCTCACTCCCTTTTAGCACTGCTGATGTTACCTAGTAGGGTGGAACAGCTTGCCCCCAGAAATCGTGGGCGCTCCATTACTGGAGGTTTTTAAGAAGGGACTAGACCAGTGGTAGGCAACCTTGGCTCTTTTATGACTCGTGGACTTCAACTCCCAGAATTCCTGAGCCAGCCATACTGGCTTAGGAATTCTGGGAGTTGAAGTCCACGAGTCATAAAGGAGCCAAGGTTGCCTACACCTAGACTAAGTCACTTATCTGAGATGGAATAGGTTCTCCTGCTTGAGAGGAGGGCTGGACTAGAAGACCTGCAAGGTCCCGTCCAGTTCTATTCTATTCTATTCTATTCTATTCTATTCTATTCTATTCTATTCCATTCCATTCCATTCCATTCCATTCCATTCCATTCTATTCTATTCTATTCTATTCTATTCTATTCTATTCTATTCTATTCTACTCTACTCTACTCTACTCTACTCTACTCTACTCTACTCTATTCCTTATTTCTATTCTATTCTATTCTATTCTATTCTATTCTATTCCATTCCATTCCATTCCATTCCATTCCATTCCATTCCATTCTATTCTATTCTATTCTATTCTATTCTATTCTATTCTATTAAGTTTATTTGTTTGCTTTGACTCAGCGATGCCAGGACTGGATCTCGACTCGATCCACAGGGTTGGGTTTATCCGTTCCCTCGTTCCTTTTCATCACAAACTGGGAACCTGGAGGCCGGCTTCTAACTCTCCCTTCATCCTCAGAGAAGCCTCCCAATCGACAAGGTGGAAGGGAGGTGGCCTAGCTTGGGAGGAGGAACTTATGAGTCTGGCAGCAGCGGGAGGGCTGTGTGACTCCCTCGTTTGACCTTCCTTCCTTGACCTGCCTTTTTTTTTTTTTTAACAACTTCATTAGCGTCTCTCCTTTTTTTCAAATTTCCCATTTATTTATTTTTTTTGGAGCAGAGCTGGTAGAAGGAGGTCAAGGTCAGACATTAGGGCCAATTTCATCTCCAGATTTGGACAAAGGCCGACCTCCTCCTGTCGGGAGAGCTTGGAGAGGACCCAGACTCTGATTTATGACATCCAACCGGCTGCCCTTTTGAATTTATCCTACCCTGGGAGGTACCTCTTTCCTCTTTGGGTTTTTTTTTTTTTTTTGACTTCCTCTTCCCAGCTTTCCCTCTCTTTGTTTCCCTCTTCCTCAGGGGAAGATGTCAGCCAAAGATAAGTCTACCCTTTAGACATGACTTCATTAACCTTTTCACACAACTGACTCACTTGGCCTAAATATCCTCGCAGTAATCTGGGGTTGGTTTTTTTTGGCTGGAACGGGGTTTGTCGTTAGGAATCTGTACCTTCCCAACAGATTTGTTCCGGTTTGTAAGATGCCGCTGCTAATTTCCCGGCTGCTTCTCCCAGCCAACTGGCTGATGGCTGGTTCCCACGTGCCACACCCAAAGGCTATCATCGGAGTTTCTAGCGTTGGGGGGAACGGACTGGTTCAAAAAGCTATGTTGGGTGAGATGGCTCATAATTCAAAAATGCGTCCAGCTGTGTTGAAATCCGGTTGGACAGAGGAATTCCAAGCCCACAACTCTCAACTCGTTTTAATTCTACTGTATTTTTTTCCCCCCAACTAGCAGAATAATAGAATAATAGGGTTGGAAGGGACCTTGAAGGTCTTCTAGTCCAACTCCCTGCTCAAGCAGGAAACCCTATAACATTTCAGACAAGTGGCTGTCCAGTCTCTTCTTAAAAGCCTCCAGTGATGGATCGTCCACAATTTTGGAAGGCAACCTTAATTTCCTCGCTGTTAGGAAGTTTCTCCTTAGTTCCAGGTTGCTTCTCTCCTTGATGAGTTTCCATCCATTTCTTCTTGTCCTGCCCTCAGATGCTTTGGAGAATAGCTTGACTCCCTCTTCTATGGGGCAGCCCTTGAGATATTGGAAGACGGCTATCATGTCACCCCTCGTCCTTCTCTTCACTAAGCTGGACATACCCAATTCCTACAACCATTCTTCATATGTTTTCGTCTCCAGGCCTTTAATCATCTTATGGGTAAAAGCAGTTGGGTTTTGCTTATTTCTTTCCTAATGGGAAAATTAAAAAGAGCCAAATATTTGTGGCTGTAGGGAGGGGATGGAGAGGGATTCCATGTAGCAGTTCCAAAGCTTCCGTGATTCTGGATGGAGTCCTTGGTGCTCTCAAAGCTTGGTGGATTTTTTTTATTTTTTATTTTGCAAATGTTTCATCCACTGATTTTGTCTACAGTAGTTGGGTGATGAAACATCTGCGGGAAAACCACCAAGCTTAGGGAGCATCAAGGAATCCATAGCCCTCTTCCTCCTCCTTCTCCCCCTCCTCCTCCTCCTCCTCCCTTCTAGCACTGATGATGTTACCTAGTTGGGTAATGAAATGTCTGCAGAAAAATCACCAAGCTTAGAAAGTATCAAGGAATCCACAGCCCTCCTCCTCCTTCTCCTCCACCACCACCACCACCTCCTCCTCCTCCTCCTCCTCCTCCTCCTCCTTTCCACAAACCCTACTCCCTCTTCTAACACTGATGATGTTACCAAGCTGGCTCATGAAACGTCTGCAAGAAAACCTCCGAGCCCAGAAAGCACTAAAGACTCCATCCCCGAGCTACAAATATTCTTTTCTATCGGTAGTTCTGGATGAGGTTGATAAGCAGTCATGCTTAGGTTGTTGTTGTTGTTTTTAAAAAAATACAATCAGAGGGGTGCAGAACTGGACCCTTGAATTTTTCCACCTTCCTATTTTGAGCTGGATTTTTTTGCTACCATGGACTCGCCCGGTTTCTCCCACAATGTAACAGTGACTAAAAATGGCAGTTTCTCTCCCCTTCCTCTTCTTCTTTGCCTTCCTTGGAGTCTCAAGTTGGTTTTTCTCCCTCCTCCTCCTTCTCTTCCTCCTCCTCCTCCTTCTAGAAAAGCACACCTCATCTTACGACGGCTGGAGAGAGTCAGCAGCCACTGTTCCAGTTTGCTACACAGCGCCTACATCCAGAGCCGGACTGATACTGTGCCCTACTTATTCTGTCGAAGCGAGGAGATTCGGTCTCCCGGCATGATCTGGTACAACGTCCTCAAAGACACCAAAATCGCCTGTGAAGAGAAGATGGTCTCTCTCTTGCGCAACCTGTACGGCGACTCCAAGGGACGATGAAAAACCCGGCCGGCTAAGCAAGGGACGATGGAGCACAGGCACCCCCGGCTGAAGGACATGTGTCAACCTTCCATTTGACGGACAGCAGATCAGCTAGACAAACCACAGCCAGCGGTGGGACCAGCCAGATCCCTCCACCCTCCCCTTTTGTTTTTAGGTTCTCTCTTTTTTTTTAAAGAAAAATAATAATAATAATAATAACAAATGATTATTTAAGAAGGGTGTCCATCCTTTCGCTCCGTCCAAGAGGAAGGGGGGAGTAAAATAAATAAAGGTGTCCTCCATTTCAAACGTGTTTCTCCTAACTACATCCTTCAATGGAGAGCTAGGAAGATAACTCAGCTGGTGGGGGGGGTGAGGGCCCACAAGCGGTGGAAACCAGCCGTACTTGGGGAGGGGGGCAGTTGGTGACCCACCTTAGGTTTTTTTTGGGGGGGTGGTTGCTCTGAGGGACTGAGAGTTGGGTAACATGCAAGAAGTCGGAAGGACCTACGTCTTGGGAAAGCCAGCATCCTTGAAGTAGCCACTGAGCGCGTAACAGCAACCTGGAGAAAGAACTTTGCTAGCGGGCCATTACGAGGAGAGTGGCGCAAATTCAACGAACATCGCGTGTCAAACAAACAAACAAAAGGCTGCTTGGGTGATTGTCGCTATCAGTATCCTGACAGGTTGTCCTGTGCATTAAAAAATTCATATTTACTTCCAATATTTACTGGCCTAACTGTCATTTCTTGAGTCACGTCAGTAATTCTTCCCCACCGCTTCCTTATCGCCTCTTTTAACTTCATTCAAGTTTCTTCTCTCTCTCTCTCTCTCTCACACACACACACACATACACACCTTTGGTAAGAGAGGTGGTGTTCTGTCTACTACAGGTAAGTCCTCGGCTTACAGCCACACCTCAGCCACAACGTTTCGGTTGCTAAGCGAGACCGTTGTTAAGCGGGCTTTGCCCCATTTTGCGACCTGTCTTGCCACAGTTGTGACGTTAGTAAGCCGGTTGTTAAGTGGACCTGGCTCCCCCATGGACTTTGCTTGTCAGAAGGTCGCAAAAGGGGATTGCGTGACACACACACATACACACACACACACACACGGGACGCTGCGACCGTCATAAATATGAGTCAGCTGCCACAGTTCTTAAGGGCGTCACTGCAGTTGTTAAGATAATTAAGTGAATTTGGCTTCTCCGTGCCCTTTGCCTATCAAGAGGGTTGCAGGTGGCAATCGCATGACCCCGAGACAGTGCAACCGTCATAAGTACATGCCAGTTTCCAAGCCTCTGAAGGTAAATCATGTGACCCTGGGGATGCTGCAATGATCATAAGCCTGAAAACAATCATAAGTCCCTTTTTTCAATGCCGCTGAAACTTTGAACGGTCACTATTGTATAGTTGTAAGTCAAGGACCACATGTATACATGCCATGTCCACTTAAATTCTACCAGTTCCACATTTTCAAATGATACCTTTGTGGCTTTTTCACACATCAAACTGATATCAGCAAAGGTATCGTGAGCCTGGGCATGCTTCCGAATATCTGGATCGAATTCAGTTTGATTCAGTTTGATATGGATGCCCTAGAAAAATCAGATCTGATTTCCAGATGGCTTTCTGCGCCCAAATGAAATTGGATCTGAATAGAATAGAATAGAATAGAATAGAATAGAATAGAATAGAATAGAATAGAATAGAATAGAATAGAATAGAATAGAGAATGGAATGGAATAGAATGGAATAGAATGGAAGGGAAGGGAATGGAATGGAATGGAATGGAATGGAATGGAATGGAATGGAATGGAATGGAATGGAATGGAATTATGGAATAGAATTATGAAATAGACCAGAACGGAACCGAATGGAACAGAACAGAACAGAATAGAATAGAGAATGGAATGGAATGGAATAGAATAGAATAGAATAGAATAGAATTATGGAATAGAATAGAATTATGAAATAGACCAGAACAGAACAGAACAGAACAGAACAGAACAGAACAGAATAGAATAGAATAGAATAGAATAGAATAGAATAGAATAGAATAGAGAATGGAATAGAATAGAATAGAATAGAATAGAATAGAGACCTTAGAGGTCTTCTAGTCCATCCCCCTGCTCAAGCAGGAAACCCTATAGCATCCCAGACAAATGGTTGTCCAATCTCTTCTTTAAAAACCTCCAGTGATGGAGCACCCACAATTTCTGGTGGCAAGCTGTTCCACTGGCTAATTGTCCTCACTGTTAGGGAGTTTCTCCTTAATTCCAGGTTGCTTCTCTCCTTGATTAGTTTCCATCCATTGCTTCTTGTCCAGCCTTCAGGTGCTTTGGAGAATAACGTGACCCCCCCCCTCTTCTTTGTGGCAGCCCCACAAATACTGGAATTCTGCTATCATGTCGTCCTTGTTTCTTCTTTTCTTTAGACTGGCCCAACCCAATTCCCACAGCTGTTGTTTATATGTTTTAGCCTCCAGGCCTTGGATCATCTTAGTTGCTCTTCTCTGAACTTTTGGAGATAGTATAGTAAGATTTGGGGTGGATGGGACAATGACATCTCCTTTGTCTTAACTGACCAAAATTGGGCAGATGGTTTGATTCCCCCAAGCATCTTCGTCAGTAATTTGCCTTTTCCATTATGGTCCCAGCTTCTCATTGAAAGCCAGAAGAGACACAGGCAAGATACAATCCTTTGATCTGTGGTGTCACCGCCAAATCACACTGCAGGAGGTAAAAATTCCATTTTTTAACCCTTGGGATGGAGAAATCAACTCTACCTAGTTCTTCTGTCTACTACCTGGATATTCTGGGTATGTTTGCACAGTACATCAGATCGGACAAAAATGAACTCCAAGAGTTGTGTTAGGAAACCCAGCCAACATCTAGCACAGGGGTAGTCAACCTTGGCTCTTTTATGACTCGTGGACTTCAACTCCCAGAATTCCTGAGCCAGCTATGTTGGCTCAAGAATTCTGGGAGTTGAAGTCCACGAGTCGTAAAAGAGCCAAGGTTGCCTACCCCTGATCTAGCACGATGTGTAACCATCCCACTACGCCATGATATGGTTTGTTCAGACACAATTGAGCAGAATGGAGATCAATTTCTGTTGATAAGCGAGACGATTGTGAATTTTGCCTCATTTTATGACCTCCCTTGCCAGCATCCCCATGCAGTGATTCACTGCAACAACACGCTTGTTAAGTGAATCTGGCTACTTCATCGACTTTGCTTGTCAGAATGTTGCAAAAGGGGATCATGTAACCTGGGATGCTGCAACCGTCGTAAATATGAGTATCTGAATTTTGATCATGTGACACACCCCCCCCCAGAGATGCTTTTTCGGTGGGTGGTAACCTCAAACCGTCACTAAATGGATTATTGTGAGTCAAGGACTACTTATAATAATAGAGCTGGGAGGGACCTTGACATGTGACATGAACACAGACATTCTGATTTGTAAAGTCAGTTTTAGGTTTACACGAGTTGTGTGAATCCAGCCTCTATATGCCAAAATCTACTAAGCCAAGGATTGTTTCCTTCTACAAGATAACACTCTGGAGGAGGGAAGCTTTGCTGAATACTCTTGACAGGGGGAAAAAATCTTGACGTTGTCTTGAAGTTGTTACTTAGTTTTTGAAGCACTGTGAGATAGGGTGAAATACAGCATGGGGTGTCGTTGTGTTGTTGTTGTTTCTTTGCCTGTGCTGAATAGCCCCAGGTGACGGTCTTCAATGCATTCAACACACCTGTTCAGGTGAACTAAGTCTTTTCTGCGACTCCTACTCTGGATTCAAGGTGTAATTGCAAAGGATTTTTTTTTCCCCTTACTCACTGGGGTTGGGTTGCCTGCAACAAGTGTTTGAGTGTGGCTGTTGGAAGAATGCTTAAACCAGCTTTTGTTCTGACTTGTGAAACAACCTACCACTTTGCCTGGATTCCTGAAGCTTCTGAAAGATCCTTAGAAGCGACAAGAATATGTTGTTTTGTCTCTCTGTCTTCCCTGGAACTTCACGGGGCAGGGAAATTGGCTTCCTTCCGTTGACGGTGAGTAATTTATGCATTTGACACCCCTGTAAAGTGAAGCCTGGATTAATGTATAGTTAAACTCCTTCTGGTTCAGGGGTCTTCAAACTTGGCCCTTTTAGGACTTGTGGACTTCAACTCCCAGAATTCCTCAGCCAGGCACGCCTGGCTGAGGAATTCTGGGAGTTGAAGTCCACAAGTCCTAAAAGGGCCAAGTTTGAAGACCCCTGTTCTAGTTCATTCAACAAGTTTATTCTGGGCTTTTGATGTTTTCGTTAGAATGCAGAAATCATAAGTTAGCCTGCCTTTGTTCTATTGTTCAGCAGGCATTCAAGAAAGATTGTGAAATGAGCAACTAGAAAGATAAATAAAGTCTGTTCCTCAAAACTATAAGGCTGACTATTAACAGGAATAAAAAGTTGTTTAGGTCCAAGCTGTCAGACATCTGTCAAACCCAAAGTATAAAAAGCAGAATAACAGAGTTGGTAAGGTTTTCTAGTCTGGGAATCTTATACCACTCCGGACAAATGGCTGTCCAATCTCTTATTAAGCTTGATATAAATGGAATAAGACCAAGCAGAAAGATAACGGTAATAGGGACCTTGGAGGTCATCTAGTCCAACCCCCTGCTCAGGCAGGAAACCCCTATACCATTTCAGACAATTGGTTGTCCAGTCTCTTCTTAAAAACCTCCAGAGCACCCACAACTTCTGGAGGGAAGCTATTCCATTGATTAATTGTTCTCGCTGTCAGGAAGTTTCTCCTTAGTTCTAGGTTGCTTCTCTCCTTGATGTGTTTCCATCCGTTGCTTCTTGTCCTGCCTTCAGGCGCTTTGGAGAAGAGCTTGACTCCCTCTTCTTTGGGGCAGCCCCTCAAATATTGGAAGACTGCTATCATGTCACCCCTAGTCCTTCTTTTCATTAAACTAGACATACCCAATTCCAGTTCTTTATATAAAAAGCATCCATGGAAGGGACCTAAAAACAAGATAGAACGATGGCTTGAGCAAATATTGGGGTCCCAATTGGC